TTTGGCCAAAAAATGCTTGGGAAACCTGCAACTCACGTGAATAGTGGAGATCGTTAATTCTCCTATCAATCTCACAAACGTAGTCGAAATTTTCACATGCGAGGCTAGAAATCGACTTAGAACATCAAAAAGTATTAAGCGGAGGTAGTTATGGACCTTACCTTGGTCGGGAAGGTGATGAACTGACTCGAATTCTCTCGAATTCAAGACAGAGCTTGTGGTTCTCCGATTTGAGGTTCGAGTCAAGGGTCTATGTACTAGTCCCGTGTTTGGTGTGAGGTTGGGACTAGGGTGGTGGTGGTTTAGTGTTTGAAGTCGTTGGATAAAGTAGTGTTGTGTGGCTCGGGGAGAAGTGAGCCAAGAGAGAGAAGAGAAGGACGAGGGAGAAAGAAATGAGAGAGAAGTGAGGGAATTTGACTGAGAAGAGTAAGAATGAGAATGAGGAAGGAAAGAGAGAATATAATTTTTAATTGCAATTTTAAAATTTATAGTTAGGGTTAATTGTTGACCCCAACATAGTATTAATACTTAGAAGAAATAAACACATGGGTAGCAAGTCCTGTTGGACTGGCTTTGGGAGCAAGTCTAGCTATAGCAAGTCTGTACTTTCATTTGTTATTGAGCACAAATACATCCTTCATGTTCTCTTTCATAAAGAAATATATACATTTGGGAAAAAGTCGTCAGATCAAACGGCACGAAATTGCTTTTCGTGTGTTTTTAAATTAATAAAAAATTACGATGACTGATACTTATAAATAGTGCCACGAATTTTGTGCTCAAATTTTAATAGGCACAATTATACTTTGTTAAGGACACAAATTAATGTGTCTTTTTGTTAGAGGGCACATTTGAGATGGTTTTGTGTTCAATGCAATTCAAAAAGCACAAATACATATTTGTGTTGAATGACAATGCAAAGGGCACAAGTCATTTGTGTTCTTAGCCTATTTTTCTTGTAGTGAAACTTGACATTTTAGAGTTTCAAAAAGTCAAAGAAAATTCACCTTTTGAAATTCTGCCTTAGAGAAAATTCAAGCCTGCACTCAACAATTTCTGTTTTTGATAACGGAAAAACTCAGCCCTAAATCCCAAGGAGAATTCAAAGCAGGGCTGAAATCCTAAACTTACACCTACGTGGATTCCACTTTTATCTATACATGCATGCATTGTAGCACCTTAATTAAATTGTTGTCACAAAGTTTGAAACAACTACTGCATGAAAAATATGTACCAAAATGACTAGGACAAGCATTCATTGCCTTTTTCTCAAGGAGTTGAACCCTCACTAGCAATAAGATCAATGATAATACTTTTACCATTGGCTTTTCTTCACGATAAAAAGCCGTACATGGCAATAGGCAGCTCCATTAACATATACGACATGGATATATATATTTTTTATGATCCCTCGGACGATACATATACAAGTGAGAAGGTATGTAAATTTTGATTATATTAATTTTAGAGCAATATTACATATTGATACAGGAATCCTTGAAGCCAATAGTTAATGTAGGTAGCGATAAACAAAGCATTAATAGAATGCATGCAGATAACAGGGTCAAGATTGACCAATGCCTTTAGCACCATACAACTTTGAACTCATAAGAGTTTATGATGTCGTTACTTTGGCTCAACATACATGGTTGAATAGAACACCTGTTTTACTATCTAGTTGTATCATCATTTGTATCATCTCTCTCTAATAAAGATAATACTCACATGCGTTGGAATGACCTATATCAGTTAGAGAGATGGTACACATGATAAAAGAATGGTCTCATTTGGCATACCATATAGGACACCGGATATGACTATTTTATACGATGTTTGGGTACGATGTTTGGGCACTTCTGTGTTAAATTGCCACCGGATAAATAAGCAGGGCCATTTTTATTAGTACGCTCCACAGCGTACTAACAATCTAGTCCAAAAGCCATGTATAATTTAGTCGGGTTCAAATATACTGAACACAATCCAAAGCCAAGCCTAGCATCATCATCATCTTCCTCTTCGTGCTGCCCGTTGGCTCGTCGTCTTCTACACAGGCACTAACCCATCATAACCATTTGAACCCATTATGTGAAGTCCATATCAGAGCATCTAGTTCTCCACTCGCTCAACATCGATTCCGTGATTCCAGTTTTTGATATGTCGATCTGAGTTCTCCCGTTTCCACCTTTCAATTCCATCCCCAACAACTCCGGCGAGCTCTCCACCTCTAGCGAGACCAGTCCCATCGTTGCCGGGAGGGTTTGATCTGACAGACCCACCCCTCCTCGTCCATTCGCCGACCCTTCCTTCCCGTTGATTGTCGACCCACCCATTTCCCGTCTACCTACCCTATTCGCCTATTCCCCTGTTATTTTCCTTCTATTTACCCTTTGCTTTTCCAATTTTTTTTTTTTAAATTTTATGTATTTATTTAGTAAAATTTATGGTTTTTAGACCATCTCCAACCCTTGGGCTAAAAGCCAAATTTTTTAGCCCGGAAAATTTAGCTTTTAGCCCAGAAACATCTTTTCTGCTGCAACCCTTCTACCCTAAAATTTTAGCCCGGAATTATTAAAGAATGAAATTAGCCTAAATTTTTTTCTTAAATCAATTTTTTTTTTTAAAAAAAAATATGTAGATTATTGTAAATTAATTTTATGAACATTTTAATCTAAAAAAATTTAAATTCCGATAAACATTTCGCATTTAGCCCAGGGGGAAAGCTGGGGGGTATTTGGCCCAGAAATAGCATTTAGCATTTAGCCTAAAATTTTAGCATGGGTTGGAGAGTGTTTGGGGGGTAATTTGGGGGGTAATTTGGCTTTTAGCCTAGGGTTGGAGATGGTCTTAGAAAATTATATTTGGTTTTCTCCTCTTTTTTTTTTTTTAATTCATTTCAACATCAATCATTCTGTAAAATGTTTAGAAAATTATTGTAGTCCAACGACATATCCGACGCACAGATTAATTCGACACCGCAAACGACCGACTAATTTAGTCAGTACTGTTCGGTGACTATTTATTCTATCCGATTGAAGTAATCGGTACAGTCCAAGTTGCCAAACGAGACCTTAGATGGTAAGTGCAGCATTACTCTTAATTATGGCCCTTTCCTACTCCTCCTCCAGCACCCACCTCCACCAATTCCTTTACCATTGCCTCCCCCAAATCCACCTCCACTATTGCTACCGCCTTGATCTTTTTTATTCTTATGGTGGCTTCCACCACCACCAGCCCCTCCACCTTTTCCAACACAGTCAGGCTTCCCAAAACTAATTTCATTATTGGCAGGTTTTCCAGAGTACCATAACTATAACTGTATGTTCCCTTCCCTCCAAAATTAAAACCAAACCTTTTTCCCCTCTGGTTTTTTCACTAACTGATTTCCATCATCACTGTACCTTTGTCCGCATGAGCATGATCATCTATCTTCCTTATTCCCTGCACACACGACTCAGACATTAACCTCGTCGCCATGGCCACCCACAAACTTATCTGACAGCTGCATTGCTACATAATAACTCGAGGATCTCTATTGTTTGATAGTTGGAAGTTGAGATGGCAGACGGTAGTAGTAGTAGTAAATTAGTAATGCAGCACGTAATTGCCCCGCCGCTACACTTTACAACACGGTGAGGAAGTCAGAGTTGAGTAAGTTCAGCTCAATTCCATGCTCCGTTTCGTGATTGGCTTAACTGTTATTTCTGCATGGATAATGGTAGGGACACCAAATTTCAAAATCAAAATTGCAAACCAAATGGTGCGTCACCAATAGGAAATAAGCACATTAATCGACACTTAAGTAACAATCAATCATCAACAACCATATCATTTGGTTTATAAAATTTGATTTAAAAATTTGGTCTCCTTAACGTTACTCTTTTTGCATTACGCACCTTGTGACTAGGTTTTATACCGTACGTACATACTCGCGGACCACTGTCATGCATCCAAAATATTAGATTGAAGCCCTAGCTCCACACAATGTCATTTCTTTCCTGCACTTGAGTTTGATTATCTCTTTTTGTAATTTAAATATATTCACATCATTTGTGAAAGAAATTTAATTCTCAACTCGTTTCCTTCGTTTGTTAAATTATTGTTTCTCTTTAGGGATGAGTTCAGTTTCATTCAGTTTGGTTTTTGGGCAAAATAAAAAAAACATATGTTAAATGAAGGAAGCGGGAACATTTAACAAACAAATGTAATCATATCATTCGAACAAGAAATGATCAACAAATATTTCGGGTTAGTGAGAAGTCATATGAAATGATTAAATAAGAGAATGGAGATTTCGTAGATTTGAATTGGCAAAATTTTGTTATAAACCAACCCAAACAAGTCACAAGACTCACAACATGGATTCCCCGCAAGCGTAAATGGTTAACCTCACTAGTTATATATAATTGGTTGAGGTGAAACTGTGCATGAGAGCAGGCAGAAGTGATGATTGAACAAACGATAAAATTTGAAGATTTCGCTTGAGGTCATGCACTCCAAGTTCCAACCGCTAGTTGAGATTCATTTCATGTATTTTGATTGTTGATATATAGGATAAGTTTTCATGATGCAAGTTCAAGTTATCGCTGGAAAAAAAAGAAAAAAAAAACTGTGCGGTATTGAATTGTTTGGCTACTTAAGAATGAGTAGAAACTTTTGCTTCAAATTCAATGTGTTTGAATTATATAGCTTGGTATTTATGATCATTATTGTTCATATTATGAATCATTATGTAAAAATTATCTCTGCAAAAAATGAATTAAAATTAAGATCGTTTATTCAATATATTGTAGCAAATACATAGAAAAATCCGTTCATCTGTTTTTATACAATTCGATGAGTAAGTCACCTTAGTTTTAATTCAATTTTTTTTAAAGACAATTTATATATAGAGTAATTTATAATATAAAGAATTAATTAGGAATCGGCAACGATTAGTCCAACGTTCAAGAATAACAATGGGCGCCAATGTCCATCAATGACTGTCCCATAAAAGGTTGGGACCATCAACCATCAACATTCCCCATTCATCTGCATCTACAAACCCATTCGGGTAAACCCGAAACCTTTCGATCTTCTAAGCCGCCAGCCAAATTAGGGTTTTTGTTTCAGCTCTCGGAGCTTATCCCCCTTTCCTCTAATCTCTCTCAATTGAAATTCGAATTCTTCGGAAACAAACAATCTACAAAATTACATTACTTTTCAATTTTTCCCACACAAAAATCCTCAATTATTTTTGCGTCATTGGGTATTAGGGTTCGAGCTGCTGTGAAGCTACCGATTTTGTGCTCCAATGGACGACATGGAAGACGACCCAAGGTACCATCCGAAATCCTACTCTGCAAACCACCATAACTCTTCTGGTCGCCGGAAAATCCACACCCGAAACACCCAATATTCTCGTCCGGTTCCCAACCGATACGCGGAGGATGACGACGACGAATTGGACGATTTTGACGAAGGAAATGGCCGGGAAGACCAATACAATGACGAGGAAGACGAGCACAGACATGGGTTTAATCGGAATTTTGACGCGGAGGAAGATTTTGAGAGGCTTCCAAAGAAGAGGAAGGCGAAGAATTTGGAATCAAGGTACGAGTTTGCCCCTCGGGTGAGGCCGAACTGGGAACTGGGTTTTCGGGCTGAAGAGGAGTGGACGGAGCACGCGGTGTTTATGCTGCTGGAGGTTTGGGGCGATAGGTTTCTTCAGCTGGGGAGGAAGAGTTTGAGGTCTGATGATTGGCATGAGGTAGCATACAAAGTCTCAGAGGCGTCGAAGATTGAGAGGACCGACAGGCAGTGTAAGTCGATGTTGGATATGCTTAAGAGGAAGTATAAGAAGGAGAAGGAGAAAATGGAAGAAATGGGGTTGAACTCTAGCAAATGGGCTTACTTTAAGAAGATGGAGATGTTAATGGCATCATCTTCGAGGCAGGAATTTGGGCTTGCTTGTGGGATTGATTCTGGGGAGTATGTGTTTATGAACACGAGGGTTTATTTGGAACGGTCGAATGGGTTTGATGAGATGAGGGATAGTCCTGGTGAGTCAGAGACAGATGATGATGATGAGATTGGGAATGAGGATTTTGATGTGTTTCCACCAAGAATGGCAGGGATGGGTGGAGGGGACGGGGATGAAGGGTCTTCGTATAGAGTGTTGACGGATTCAATTCACAAGTTTGGGGAGATTTATGAGAAGATTGAGAGTAGTAAGAGGCAGCAGATGAGGGAATTGGAGAAGATGAGGAAAATTTTCAACAAGGAGTTGGAGTTGCAGAAGAAGCAGATTCTAGAGAGGGCGCAGGTGGAAATTGCGAAAATTCAGGAGGCAGATGACGATGATGAGACAGATGTTTCTGTTGAGGATCTCAGTGAATGATGCAGGTGAGGGGGTGTGTGGTTTCTGACTTTTGCTTCAACTTAGTTGGCAACTGAATTGGTGCTACAATTATTCTCTAGATATAATTTTTGTGAGATTATTGTTTTATAATATGCTAAGTTTGCTCTGATTGTATAATTTTGTGCCTCTAACATTGTGATGCTTGCTCCGAAGAAATTAACGGATTGGTTTTGTTCCTCTGTTAAGTTATGTGATATGTTTCATGGCATTTTCTCCGTTTGTTGAGTAGCTCTGTTTTGGAAAGAATTTGATTTACTTTGGCCCCATTTTTTTTTTTTTTTCATTCCTAATGTTAGTATCAAAAACATTAAAGACATGATTTAGTATCAAAAACATTAAAGACATGATCTTAATGTTCTACCTTCGAAACCCAAAATCCCACAAACAATGGCTTTCGTGGTTATGCAGGGGCTCATGCATTGTGTTCTATGGCTTCAGTTATGTTTGAGATGCGTTATTTTTTTGTATTTAAAGAGAAAATTGTTGGTGACTGCTATTAGAATTGATTTAAGAAGATAAGAAACATTGATTCGGTAAATACTAAATGGAGAACATACATGGATACAAGGGCAAGATACAACTTTGTTGTGTTCATCTCGTACTTTGTTAGAGTTGAGCCTGTAGACTGTCAAACATTAGAACTTGCTAGCCTCATGTTTTAGCGGATGATCCAAAATACAAGCTCGTTTGAAAGTGCTTTTAAAATGACCGAAACTGCTTTTGGTGAAAGTGTTTTTGGGTTCCAAAAGCACTTGAAGTTCTTGCAGGAAGCACCTCAAGTGCCTTTTCAGGATTCACTTGCATTATTTTACTAGGATTGGTTTCAAAAGCACTTTCAATCATTTTGAAAACGCTTCCAAACGAGCCATACACTTGTATCAGTCTTGTGTGTGCTTCAGAACAAGATGTTAACATACTCTTCAAGGTTGAATGTTATCTTGAGATTTAGGAAAGCATCTTCTTCTTCTTAATGAAATTTCTGAATTTGTCCTAATTTCTTGTCTCAGGACATATTATGATCGAGAAGGACGGGAACATCTAATCGCTGTTCTCAACTGTTTCGGGGATTAACTTGCAAGACATTCATCTTTAATCTGTTGCTCTATCATCTTCCGTTATCCTTCAATTTTATCAAATTATTTTTATTTTTGAATATGTCACAAAATCGATTAAAATTTTTATAACTAAAATTTTCTGTGAAGAGTATAAATATTTTCTATTGACTTTTTTTAAGTGAAAAATAAGAAAAATCCATATTTATTACAGACTTTCTTCTGGAAACAGCTCCTCCTTGATTGAAGGAGCAATCCACTGTATCTGAATATGTGTTAACTCCCAAAGATCATCACCCTCCTGCACTAATATCTCCTTCATCTTCATCTCCGTAATCATCTTTCTGAACTCCGGCACAATTTCCGGCAGTTTTGATTCGCCATATGCTCATTGGGAAATCGGTATCAGAAACTGCAAGTACACATCTGTCAGGAGCTCCAATGCAATCTTCAAGGTCCCTTCCATGCCTCTCATCTCCTTCTCTGCGTTCTCTCTTTGTGAGTACTCCAGCATCTTTTTGTGCAGATCATCCACCATCACGAAGATAACGAGGTTGAAACAGTTGGTATAGTTGGTTGGTGTGAATTCTAGTTCCTCAGCAAGTTTGAAACTTTTTTGAAGAGACAAGACTGCATGGTTTCTTATTTCTTCTCGCCGAGCTAGGCTGATCTTTTGAAATGCCTCCCCAAGCTTGACAAATAAATTCATGGCAAAGTTGTTAGAGCTTTTGAGTCTTCTAAGGAGGAGTTACTCGTGTTGCTCGCGATGCTGTAATTGTTCCCGGGATCTGAGTACTGATTTCTGTACTATTGGATCAACAAGTTTACAGAGTCTGCTAACAGGTCAAGTATCTTCAAGTTCTTCTCCAACGGGCTGTTTTTTAGAGCAATAAAACCAAAGGCATGGTCAATGCAGTAAGCGTAATTTGTCCGCGATACATGGGTTCCATCAGACATCACCATGATCAGGGTCTCAACTCCCTGCCAATAGGTGTCAGGGTGTCGCCCGGAGACTGATAACAAGTGAAGAACTGACTTCCATCCGAGTTGGGTTTGCAAATTGGCAGGGTACTCAACGAGAATCTTGTTTACTGATTGTGTAATGGACTCGCTGCAGGTGTCCGAGAATTTCTTTTTCCAGCTTCCACATTAGATTTATCGACTTGAAAATGAGCTCCTCGGGGATTCTGTCAGGTCGGTATGTACCAAGGAGCTTGAGACAGACCTTGAAGAGGCCTACAATGGCTTTTTCGGAAAATGGGATTGGGGAGAACATGGGAAACTGAGCAACCGCCAGCAGATAATCATGAAAACTCAGCCAAAATGCTTGGAACCTATGGACGTTGGCCAAAGAGATGGCAACTATCAAATCCCAGCAGAACCCAACGGTCACTTCTTTTTCAATGGATGTGCTAAACTTCTGCCCTTTCCCTGCAGCTGCATATATTAGCGAACGCCCGAGGTTGAGCAAAGAGTCCTCGGGAAAGTTTGAACTAGTGCTGAAGATGTCCCCAATTCGGCATTGTTTGATAACCTTCAGGTTCTGTTCAAATTCACTCATGCCAAGAGATACAGCATCTTCCGGACTCTCTAGTGATAGAAAATGTGAGAATCGACTAATCATGCCAGAAGCTTGTCGTCCTCCAAATTTGGGATCGTGAGCAGGGAAGATTATACCGGATTCAGATGTTGGTTGAGCATCAGATGAGGTGGAAGCAGCATCAAACTCAAGGACATTTTGGGGAAGTAGTTTAAGCCTCTTGAGTTTCAGCAAACAGTCCACAATATTCCTCCAACCCCCTCTGATCGACTCTCCAAAGTTGTTTGCGATGGTGAAAATAGCTAGTGTAGCCATTCTTGGCTTCAAATATTTGCTAAAAGCAAAGAGTGTTTCTTCCGCAGAGTCATAAGGATTAAGCATCGTGGTGAATCGCAAGAAGGTGGCAATGAGCTCATCGAGTGTGTCCTCTAGGCCGTACTGTGCTATCCTGGCTACCGAGAATAATCCTTCAATGCATTCATGGAGCAATTCCTGTTCTTCAGCTTGCTCGAAAAATGCAGAAATAGCTGCGACTGAAGGGCCAGCGATGCAAGCAAACATGTCTCTGCCTAGCCGACGATCAAAATCACATAGAATGAAAGGCTGCACAGTTTTGGAACGGTTCATCAACTCAATCCATCTGCTCGGCTTCATTAGTACTGTCATACTGGATTGACCAAAAAGCGTGATTGCATTGTTCGATATGGATTGGAAAAGCTCGGACAGATACTCTCTACGAAGATCCTTCCCTCCATTGATTGCCCTATTATTCCTGATGAACTCTTCTTCCGTCATCTTCTTCTTCACTTGCGGATTGTGCTGATCAGTATTGAGCATAATGAGAGTAGCAAAGAATGAATAGTGTCTTTGTTCACGAAAAGATCTGCAGACTGCTGCTAAAAAAAACACTCTGAAAACGCTTCGAGAATCCTCTGAATCTTCTGGGACTCTTCTGGGACTCTGTGATCTCAATCGGGTAGGGGTCGGAAGGGCTTGTATCATTTTCTCTATCAATACTATCTGCAATGTTGTGGATCATGATAACTAACACTTCAAAGGCTTGTATCTGTAAAGTTAAGGGCTTGCGACCGGAAAAGACTGCTTGCAAAGCAACTTCCCAATCTCCTCAAACACATTATGGCAAAGCGGATCACAGTCGTAGTTCACATAGACCTCTACGACGAACGTCAGTTGTCTGCAGAAATTTATAATCCCTTCAAGTGCAACCTCTTGAAGTTGGATTGACACTCCGGGAGCTGAAACTCGAAACAGCACAAACGTGAAGAATGCTTCTAATTGAAGCCGATTGAATCTGCAGAAACAAAGCAAATAATTCTCAAATTCGAAATGTGTTTAATTCACAGACATCTCGAAATGAACCCGAAAACCTCACCTCCGAAGAAAGTGATACATGTTCAAAACCGTACTGCAAATCATGGAAAAAACAAGCGGGCTTGAACTCGCGCCGTAGTGAACCAAATGGTGAAAGAGGCATATTTCATCATCCTCAACAACTTCGAATACGACCCGATTCCATCTCCGCTCAACTCGATCGCGGAGTTGATCAGAACAAGAGCGAAAAGCTGCACATCCTCGTCGGCAGTTTGCACGGTAGACCCCTGATCCGTCTCAAGTCTCAACCACCTGAACCACATTCAACAATGAACACAAGAAGTGAAAAATATCAACCGCGCACCGGATCCCATACCCCGAATCCATATTCCCATCGTCTGCATCGGCGTCTTCGGTGTCAGTACTCGCCGAGCTGTGCTCATCTCGGAAATCGATTTCTGGCAACCGCTAAAATATGATCTGGATCTGCTCGTGCATTGTGTACCTCGCACTTCGCATGAGCAAGTCTCCTCTGTTCGCCGATTGCTGAACAACCTGAAAACAGGTGTTCACGATTGTGCAGACGGCCTGATCGGAGAGCAGAACCGAAGAGCGGTGGTTCATGATTCCGGTCAGGATTTGGAGGATGTTCATCATCACGGCGTCCTCGTTAACAGAGTCGGTTCTTTCAAGCCGGCACGTGGAGATGGAGGTGACCACGGTGTTAATAGCTTCTTTCGCCCCCGGAGTCTTCTCGTCGAAGACTTCAGCGTGGCGGGGAGGACGACGCGGGTGGCGGAGGCGTGGACGTGGTCGCTTTGAATAACGTCTAGGAAGGGGGAGAGGAAGATGGAGGGGTCTATTGTGCGCCATTCCTGCTGGGGTTGAAGATTAGGGCACGGAGGTATTTTAGGGATTGGAGAAGGGAAGGGTCGATGATGTCCTCCAGGGCGGCCAAGCAGTGGTGGGTCGGGTCCAGGGGACGGCAGATGACGGCGAGGACGGCGCCAACTACGGTGTTTAGCATGCACGACAATCCCAGCTCTTTCCTCTTGAGCTTTGTTTGCTTGTTTCGGCTCGTTTTGCCGTTTTCATCACTGATCGGATCTTTCTCAATGCATGGCAGTCTCAGGGGAGAAGGGGAGAGAAGTTCAAACAAATTTCGAAAACCGGTTAGGTTAGTTGTGTGGTTCTAGTGTTGTAGAAGGACCATTTTGGGTTTCTGGTGTCAACTATCGACAGTGTTACTGAAATTGTAAGAGTGAAACAGGAGGTGGTTTTGTCATTTGACAAAGTTGTTCAAAACCCCGAATTGCCCGGGAATATTGAGGTCAGTTTAGTTTTTAGTTAATTTGTATGGTTAAGGATTTTGATAATTGATGATTTCCACCACAATTATCTCCTTTTCTTCATTTCTGTTAACGGGAAACATTTCCGGATGCAGTTTAGTAAAATACAAAGTTACAACGGTCGGCAAGAGGCATCAAAACTCTTTTAAGTTTTTATGCTGCAATCGATAGAAATCTGGTGCCTTTTGTCAGTTGCCCGATCGATACGAGCTCTTAAGTTCGTGCTGCAAACAAAACAGCACATCAAAACAATCTTCGTCATTGTAATTACCGGTCAACGTGGCAGCTAGCAGGGTCTTCAGCCAGCTCTCGTGGAGAGTAGAAAACTCTGATCTCTGTTCGCTGGTCTTGAAACTTTGTCCAATGGATTTCTTCATTACTTGGCCGGCCTTTGAAGCAGCTTCGACCACCTGCTCTGGGATCCCAGCCATCATTGCTACTTGCAGTCCGTAACTCTCTGGGCATGCCCCATTGGTTAGGCGATAGAGAAATACCAGCTCTTGGTCACTTTTCGAAGGGCATGCAGATTTTGACTTGAAAGAACATGCCATGTGTTGTAATGTAACGTGTGGATGAGAAGCAAATTCCTTGGTTAGCGGGTGATAGTGAGTCGCAAACAATAATCTGCAGTTAATCTTCTCGACAAGATGGCGAAAGACCTGACCAACAACAAAAAACATAGTAATGAATCTATTGATACATAGCTATGGCATAATTATCAATAATATGATGGCCTAGTAGTAAAGAGCGAAATCTTACAGCATATGCAATTGCGTATCCATCAAAAGTGCTTGTTCCACGACCCAATTCATCAAGAATAACCAAAGAATCTTGAGTGGCATGTTGAAGAACTGATGCTGTTTCTGTGCATTCCACGAAGAACGTACCTACAAAAGAAATTGAGAACACTTCCATGGTCAGATTTTGCAATTTAAGATATCACAAAATTGTCTTTTTCGTAGGTGATTCAGAATACGAAGAATAAAAGTAAAGGAAACGAGACTGTTGGTCTGCTAAAAAAGGCTTACTCTCGCCAGTCATGATACGATCAGTGGCACCAAGGCGTGTGAAGATGACATCTACAAGTGAGAGAACACATGTCTCACAAGGCACGTAACAACCAAGCTGCAAGACGTCAATGAATCAAATGACTAAACATCAAATGGTCTTCAATGACCAACTTCTGGGTTTAAATTACAGAAGAAATCACTCAAGGCAAAAAGAACCTGGGCTAGTATAACAGCTAGACATGTGGCGCGAAGAATAGTTGATTTTCCACCCATATTTGGCCCGGTCAGTAGTAAAGTGCGTGGATGATGGCCATCTGTACCCTGGCCTAGGACCATGTCATTTGGGACAGGCAGTCCTCCATTTTCCCCAAGAGCAAATGGATGCCATAGTCCTTTAGTTGCAAGTGTAGGACTTTGGTTCTCTCCATTCAAAGTCATATCTTTAGATTGAGGCAAAATAACAGGTCTGGACATGGTCCCAGATGGGAAACTTGCAGTAACTGCAAAAGATCTTAGTACATCAATACAGTTGATGGCATGTACGGCATCGGACCATTCTTTTGCTTTCTCGATAAATAGCTCAATCAGGATGGAGAGTGTTTCGACATCTGAATCAGTTGCCTCGTGATTCTGGCACCAAATTCAATGTCAGTATACTTCACAGAGGTTTAACTCTTGAAACTAAAATCAAAATTTTGGTCATGCAAAAAAAATTCATACAATATGCAGTACTAGTTCAATGATTATCCCGATATAGAGCAGTCCAAGAAAAGTCAAAAAGATAATACTGAAAGAAACTGAAGATTTATTGCACTATTTAAACCATAAAAAAGGGACAACCAGAGAGAGAGAGAGAGAGAATTATTTAACAAAAGTTGTCACCACAAATAATCAATTAGCAAGGCTCCTGCTTGCACACTAACGGAAGAACCAATAATAGAACACAATTGAGGAAATGGGATCTATGAAAGAGCAGATTATTGACTATCCACGGAAATATATTACACTCGCTGACAGGAGTGTTCTACATGAACTAATTAACACCAGAGAAGAGATATGGACACTTCTAATAGAGCAAGGTATGAGAATTGAAAAACATATACCTGGTAATTTGGGAACTCACTATCTACAGCAGCTTCAAATTGGGTAAGATGTTGATCAAGCCCATCACTGCCACTCAGACTTGGAACTTTAAATACTTTCGATAATCGTTCAATGATATGCCCTTCATTCTGTAATAGCTTTAACAAATCCAATCCAGATCTCAGGCCCTTCACAAGAGTCCCAAACACTTTTACCTGTACAACATTAAAAGTTTGTGTTTGGTGTTATCTTTTCTTACCATACATTGATGGTTAAGGAGAATGGGTTGGTAAAATCAATGGAATCTATTCTCTGAACACTCAAATTTGAACAGCAAAACATTTGCCATATTTTATGAAGTTTCAATATAACTTCCATATTAAAGTAGAAAATGCTTACTCTCTGTTTCAATACTTTTTTGCCAAACAACGGGAGTAGGAGAGAAGCTGAGGACCGAACACTTGCCCTAATCCGTCCGAGTAACCTTTCTAGGTCTGGAATCTTGCGAAGATATTGAGCAATAAGTGGTATCATTTCTGGATGTACCAGTAGATCTTCAACTACATCAAGCCTATTATTAATGGCTTCAACAGATTTCAGAGGATGGCAGAGCCACTTCCTCAAAAGCCGCTTACCGGATGATGTTACACAGTTATCAAGATATGCGTACAGTGTACCTAGTAAAAGATACCAAAAAGCACAATAAAAAAATGGACTCACTCAGTATTCTGGTTGAATTCAAGAAAAGGATTACACTTGCCTGATGGACCACCATCAGCATTATTACTGAAAATTTCCAGATTTACCAGTGTCTGTCCATCCATTTTGAGGCAACCCCTATAAACTTGGTAAGGTAATATATCTCCATTTCGTAAAGTATCATCAAACTGCATAAGAAATGGAACGCATCAGTTACTTTATGGCAGACATAAATTCACTGGATAATTATTTTTCATTTTTGAAAGACATTTAAGTGAGCTTACCATCAACCTGGATAGATGGCCAATAAGAACGCCAAGTGCAGATAAAGTGATTTCATGGTGTATCTCACTGTCAAGTCCATGATTCCATGAATTAGAAGACCCTTTGAAATACCCTTTCAACTGAATTACATTTCTAACTTCAGAAGCATCCGAAAAATCAGTGAGTGACTGCACTGGAGTCAGTTGCAGTGCAGCAGAACCTGCATGATAAACAGAAACGCAGTCAGAATCACCTACACCACTCACACACACATGCTCTCTCTATCTCGATCACTCGGATTTGTTTTCAATTGGGAAAAAGAAAAGGATAGCTCAAACCTGTTGAGTACTTTTTTAAGGCCTTTTGAGCTTCTCTTGACAGCCCTGCGTAGATTTGAGGTTGTATGTTTCAAGTGATGAAATGATTTTCATGCATCAAAATTGAAATCTGCCAAATAAATAGGCAGAAAGGGCAGAGCAAGAATATTTACCTCTACTTTCATATATAACTTCTTTAGGCGACACCTAAATCAAACACCATCAACAAAATTAGAATATCGGTTTTCAAGCCTTTGAAACTACTTCACTAAAGATACTACACAATGAAAAGAATACAAGAACATACTTGCATCAATAAAGCCCCCAAAGCAGCACAGGAGGCATCGTCACTTATGGCACCAATCCAGAACTTTAAAGCAGCACAATCAACAAAAGCAAATCCATATACAACTGAACCATTATGCACCTCAGAGCTCACCTGAACACACCAAACCAGGGAAGTGCATTTTAAATTCTATAATGCATAAAACACTTCTCTAGTAGCAAAAATATAGGAACTTATAGAAAAAATGAAAATCCTCAAGCACATATACAAGGAAAAACATCGGAAGATGCTATAAGGCCAACTACTACATATGATATAAAGAAACTGTGAAAAATATGTCAGCTTTAAAATGGCCAGAATGATCTTAACAAAATAAGAATCTGTTTTGGTGCTTCCCTCTAACAACTCTGAGTTCGCCTATAAAAACAACTCCGAGTTGAATAACCATTTTGTTCATGGGTCTCTCGATTGGACCATATTACAAGGAAATTTCTGTGATCTGTAATGCTAGTGACATCACTTAGAACAAGGATTGTGAGGTATCAAACAGATTGCAAAAAACTTATGTAGCATGCACATTCACAAATTTGAGATCAGGACGCTACAAACCTCTTTTAATGCAAGAAGATGAACAGCATCAGGCCCAATATTTCCGTCAGTTGTGGTTGATGGTGTGACTACCTGAACCAACTTTCTCGGAATGACCTGTAAGACAGGGATTAAAATTCAGACTGTGCAAGTACAAGGTCACCTAAACAATCACAATGTGTAGAACTAACAGTAATCTTTAAATCTTAGATTAACATGGCCAACTTACAGCTTTGGCACCTCTGGCTTTTGCTTGATCAGAAGTCTCCAGCTGCTCTATCCTTCCAACTTTATAGCTTCACAGATGTAACAGATAACAAGTCAACTATGCTGTAGCAATGTAGGAAATGAGACAATTGCCTGACCACATAGGATGATGTGATCAAAGGCATCGTTCAACAAATAAATGCAGATGATAATCAAATCAATATAAGACTAGTGAATCACATACCCACGCACAACCAGCTTTTCGACAGCATCATCAATCCCACTTTCAGAGATACCAACCTATATCATATGGGTGGAAATACTCGGGTCAACATATAGACATATAGTTCTAAAAGCATGATCAGAATAAGTAATGTGAATCAAACGATTTAGTGCATCAAGTCACCTGACGACATTTCCCTACACCACTTAAGGTCATTTTCCAATCAAGCTCCTTATGGCCAATTTCAGCATCTAGTTCATAAAGCTCATAAAATTTTCCCTGAGGTTGATCACAAGCCATGAGATTAGGTAATGCAGTTCGAAAAACAAGGATTTAAACTTCGGAATCTGAATTGGATGAATAGAAATCATCCCAAAAGTCCTAGTACAACAAACTACACTTCCACAAACAATTACAAATTATATTAACTATAAGCAAATAAGCAGTTGTAACTAACCACTTTGAAGAAGAGAACAACGTCCATATATTGACACTTGACATCCCAATATTGTCTTTGTGATGCCGACATCTTCTTCAAAGCATCAGGTGGTATATACAGCGTTGTTTTGTCATAGAGAGGATCGTCAGGCCGCCTTCTATTTCCATCTCTGATTCGGGACGGGTCAAGCCACTCAAACTTGCTAGTCATATCAGATGCTTCTCCATTACACTTGTCCAAGGTTACTGCTGGCTCCTGAAGAAGTTTCACTCTTTTGCTAGAATTTTGCAACGGACCATCTACCTTATCCCCAAACTTCGGAATATCATCTTGAATCCGTTTCATTCGGGGAACCAGACGCTGTGCCCCAGGCGTTTCTGGCCCGACAATGTCACTTTCAATATGCACAACAGAAGCTTCACCAGTTTTCTTATTGGAATTGGTAACATTTTTGTTAAATAGAAAATGTTGAGATGCCACTGCTTGTTCACACAATCCTTGAGGTTCGGTAAATTTACCAGACTCTGTACAACCATTAGAGGAACCAGCATTTGATTGTTTCCTACAAAAATCAAATTAAATTTATAAATTGATTGCAGAACTTGAACAGAAATTTAAACCCTAAACCCTAAGTTTATCGTTAAAAAATTATAAAAATAATTAATATTATTGTGCATCATCGACCTTCATAAACCAAAATAATAATTAATAAATAATACCTCTGGCTCTGAGGAGCTTTTTGCGTATCATCGACCTTCATAAATTTAAGCATGATGCTGGCAAATGGAGACGACTCTTTCAGGCTCTCCACATTCCCATGCAAAATCTGACGTGGAGCCTTCTCCGGCGGAGTGTCAGTTCCGGTAACTTCAAGAGCCGCCGTAGTCTGATTAGAAACGGAGGTCTTTTGTTCCTGCTGCGTCACCGGGAGCTGAGAAGCTCGGCGGCCGTTTGGTGCATTTGCGGCGTCGGAGCTCTGCTTTTCGGGCGATGGTTTCTTGAAGAAGGAGAGGATCGACTGCTGGCGTTGCATTTTTCCGATTCGCAGAGAGAGAATGCTGATTGCTGAGCGCGAATGTGGAACTGGAATTTATACGGAAATGTAGAATTGGCGCCACATATTGGGAGTGAAGTTAAATTGCGCGGGTGAGTTTTGACCTAGGTGACTTTACCTTCTGGTAAATATGCCCGCATCTGCAAAAACAACCAATTCGCAACTCGCCACTTTTAAGACAACACACATTGGGGCCAATTCGTGAATAAAACTAATATATAAAGTCGGTTTTACCCCTATATAGTACTAACATGCAAGGGCATTATAGGATTTTTGGCTTCTTTTTTTTTTAAGAAAATTAACGGAAAAATCCTCAAAAAACTTTAGTTTTAATAAAAAAAGATAAAATATTGTTGTAAGTGAATAGTATCATGAGTGACTTTTCATAGTAAAAACGTCTTTAATGTTAAAAGTGAATAGTACTAGAAGTATTTCATTAAGATTCTCTTTTTTATTGTGCTATATTTCAAACCGTTGAAGTTTACTGTGCATTTTGAATGAGTAATTAGCTTCCAATTTTCTCAAATACCTACATGTATATATAATTATTATTTGACGGTAATTTATGAGAACAAATTTAGTCATTATTTAACCTTTAAGATAATGATTATATTAAATACATGCAAATATTATAATCAAATCTCAAATTGCAAACGGCTGTTTTGAGTTTTTGACATTGTGTGAATTTGCGACTTTATTAGGTTGATTGTAGTCAACTGTCAACGACGTACTCCTTAAACCATTAACCTTCCCGCATAGAACACACATTAAGGCCATGACACGTAGTGATTTTTCAAGACTCATTTTCTTCTTTTTGCATTTTTTTATGTTTTAATTTTTTTTTAAATTTATTAAATTCTATGACTAAAAATAACATAAGAGTGCAAAGGAAGAAAAAGAGACTGAAAATTATTTATATTCGAGAAAAGTTGTAAATCAGTTGAATGTCAAAACAATGAGCTACCATTTAAAAAATAAAACCTCGTAATTTTGGCAATCTCCAAACGTTGCTCATCCTACTTTCTATCACTATAAGTACTCATTTAATAACAAAATTAGTTTTTTTTTCCTGCTAAAACATAGAAATTAATTTATAAAAGTTACTTTTGTGAGCTTTCAAATTTTGGTTGGTATTGAAATAAATTTTTATCTTTATAAAAATTAAAATTGGTTTCCAAAGAAAATTTTAAAAGTTTTAAACAATAAAACGATTATCAAACAGTCATCTTCTTCAGTTAATTGTATCCAAATCCGAAACCTTCTTTTTCTCCGTAGTATTGAAAAACTCAATGCAAATTATCCTAGTATCTGTAAATTAATTTTAAAAAGGAGCCATAAGTTTTACAACATTTTTTTTGCCAATAATTAGATGAGTTTTTAATTTTTTTTTAGGGAAGAAGGGAGAAAGGGGTTGGGGAACCCTCGCGCTCCAAGAGTTGTTAGATTTTCACTATCACATTAGCCTGCCTTAAATTTTCAAATTTGTATTTTTTTAATTTTTCAGCACATATTAAGCATTGAACTTAGCCGTTGAGACCTCAAACTCTTAAATATAAGAATCTTCCAGCCAAGCACCAATGGTAGACAGCCACGTTTTCAAGCAAACCAGCATTACGCGGCGAAGGACAACCGGATAAGAAAAACCGGTTCCACATTAACCGCCCACGAATTTTCATTTTCCATGATAAAAATATCTAAAAAGAACCTTTGAGAACGTTCCAGAATCTTACCCCGCTGTAACTTGCGCACCAATCTTCACCGTCCTCATCATCGTCTCCACCAAAATCCAAAAGCTTTCTCTCTCTAAAATCTCTCTCTCTAGATATCCGACGAATCTCCGACGATGCCGAGCCGAAACTCAGGAGTTATGGTCCAGGACTGGGAGCCGGTGGTCCTCCAGAAGAAGCCCAAGTCCAGTGCCCTCCGCGACCCGAAGGCGGTGAACCAGGCGATCCGGTCGGGCGCGCCGGTCCAGACCATCAAGAAGTTCGACGCGGGATCAAACAAGAAGACGGCACCAGTTGTCAGCGTGAAGAAGCTCGAGGAGGCGGCCGAGCCAGCGGCGCTGGACCGGGTCTCGACGGAGGTGCGACTGGCGATACAGAAGGCGCGGCTGGAGAAGAAGATGAGCCAGGCGGAACTTGCGAAGCGGATCAACGAGCGGCCTCAGGTGGAGCAGGAGTACGAGAACGGGAAGGCGGTGCCGAACCAGGCGGTGCTGGCGAAGATGGAGAGGGTTCTGGAAGTGAAGCTCAGGGGCAAAGTTGGGAAATAGAAAGTGTCCTGTGTTGAAGGTTAAAACGACGGCGTATTACTGTTGTTCCGTGTCATGAAAGTAGTGGTGGTGTTGTCAGTTGTGTGGGTGCTTGTGTGGGTCTGTTTTTGTTGTGTGATCAAAACTGTAAGGATGTACAAAGAGGCAAAAGATACGTAGTAGGCTAAACTCGCCAATGGACTTCATGAAATTAATAGAATCTGATGTTTTCGTTGGTTATTTTTTTAATACGTCAATGTTTTTACACTAAAAGGAGAAGGAGGTTGGCTAAACCAGCAGTCTAATTTAATATCGAATTCGTTATTTACGAGATTCGAACTTAAGACCTTTCACTTTCGAGGAATACCGGAATACCATCAAACCAAAGGAATACCATCAGCCTTGGTTGCTAAGGAGTCAATTTTTCCTAATCGGCAATAACAAATTTTGAAATTTCGAATTTGATTTCAGATCAAAATTGGTTTTTTGCCTAATTCTTCTTCTGATGATAGATTTAATATCTAATAAAAAAGATATACCTTTGTTATATCGATAATCAAAATTTCCAATGCAACTTTGTACTTTTTTACTAAGGATCAACTTAGTAAGGAGGAGTCATTCTTTCTTAATCGATAATCTCATAAACTGGCAGAATTTTATTTGGGTGTGTCAAGATAAAAAACTTTCGGATCAAAATCAGATGGAACAGGAATATATCCAATATGTACCTCTTGGCAAATAAGCAACTTATTACCCATCGAGTAGGGCAGTGATACTACCCATATGAATTTCATAATTTGTAGCCTCTGCAACTATATTTCAAACTCAAACTTCTGTATTTTCCATTAGTAAATAAAATATAAAATCTCCCACAACAAAAGGAAACAGATATACAACATAACATATACATATATATAGGTGTTTTATTATTGTTGCACAATTTGCCAGCCTTAAGATTATATCATAATTTAGAGCCAGGGAGAGTTAAAAAGGGGAGTGACAACAGATTTGGTATGGAGATAATGGTACAGGCCCTGCATACCAAAGTCTCTTCCGAACCCGCTCATCTTATACCCTCCGTAAGGGCAGTCTCGATCGAAAGCAAAGTAGCAGTTGATCCAAATAATGCCTGCGCGGATCGACCTCGAGACAGTGTTGGCCACATTCAAGTCCTTGGTTATGATCCCTGCTGCTAGCCCGTATTTGGTGTTGTTGGCTCTCTGTATCGCCTCCTCGATTGTCCTGCAACATTTTCACACGCTGTGAGTTTAAGACAATGTACATGTTGAAGGCAAATCGAACAAGAGAAATCAGACTTGTGGTACTTACTTGAACTTCATCAGCGCCATTACTGGTCCGAATATTTCATCCTGGGCTATGAGCATGTCATCCTGAGAAAATCGTCATAAGATCATTGAGACGAGAACGATATGAGGAAAAAGAACACGAAAAATAATTCTATGGATTTGATGTTCCATTTGCTTTGCTAAAGTTGGAATTTGTAAATGTACCTTGACATCAGTAAATATTGTAGGCTCAATGTAATATCCCTTGTTGCCCACAGGCTTGCCCCCTGTTAACAATGTGGCTCCTTCCTTCTTCCCATGCTCAATGTAGGATAGGATTCTTTCGAACTGCTTCTTATCAACCTGCAATTTTCAGTGAATGTCATGGATGTGAATTTGTAGGGCATAGATGAATCATAAAACTTCATTGGCGGTAGAGTCAGTTACCTGCGGTCCTTGACGGACATTAGGATCAAAAGGATCCCCGACTACCCAATCTTTCGCCTTCTCTTGTAACTTCTTCACAAATTCATCATAAATCCCTTCTTGAACATAAACACGAGAACTTGCCACACAAATTTCTCCCTGAAAATGCGAATGACTAACACGCAGTTAGTGCTGCTACATAAATCTAGCCAAGTCATAAACAAGGAGATGCTAGTTAAAACCAAGTTGAACGGAAATTACAAACTTCACCTTGTTGTAAAGGATTCCCAAGAGAGCAAGATCAGCAGCCATATTTATATCAGCGTCATCAAAAATCACAAGGGGTGATTTGCCTCCTAGTTCAAGTGAAACTGTCTTCAGATTGCTCTTTGCTGCAGCCTGCATTACTTCGCGCCCTACCTCGGTGGAACCAGTAAAACTGACCTGAGACATCAAGAACAAGCGTCAACATTACAAATCGCAGCAAGGAATTCAAGTATTGTCCTCAGATTTCATAAAAATTGTTCACATAAATGATACAACAATTGAACAAAAAAACGAGAGTTTACTTTGTCAATGTCCATATGATAGCTGATGGCAGCACCAGCAGTCTTTCCAAATCCGGTTATGACATTGAGCACTCCGTCAGGAACACCAGCCTTCATAAGAATTTAAAAGAGAAAGTCAACAACGGCGAGCCACATTGGCAATAAACACAAACAAACACAGAGCATGACTGAGCTTACCAACTTAGCCAGATGAGCATAGTATAATGCAGATAGAGGTGTTTGCTCAGCAGGTTTGATGACCATGGTGCAACCAGCAGCTAAGGCAGGGCTGACCTTTCCGAAAAGCAAGGTGCTCGGGAAATTCCAGGGAACAATGAGCCCCACAACACCAATGGGTTCAAGCAACGTATAACCATGAAGTTCGCGCGACATTTTGAGCACCTCTCCATGGATTTTGTCAGCTGCACCTGCATAATAACGTAACATTTCTGCTACCTGCGGTATGTCCATGGTCTTGCCAACGCTGAACAACTTCCCGGCATCAACGGTGTCCAAGATAGCTAGTTCTTCTGCATGTTTGTCAATTAAGTCTGCAAACTTCATCATTATCCTTCCCCTCTCCTGAACATAATTACATTCAAGGCAGTAAACAAATTAGATCCTTCGTAACACATTGATCTATACAGATTTCAGGGTTAATTCCACACTACTCAATAATTCAAAATTAATATCAAGCTAAGTCATGCACAGAAAATTTATTCTTTATTGCTGAAATATTATGAAAACTAACTTGAATTAATATTAAAACGTCAAAAAAGAAAAAAACTAAAATGTCAACGAGCTATGATACTGGCTCAGTTGGGAACTGACCCTTTCTACAGTTTCCATCCTTTTGGATTGAATTTTATGATTAATTAGTTGTTGTCATTCATAATTTAAGTTTTCGTGTAGTGGCCTACTTGAGTTTGACATGAAAAAAATAGTTATATTTCAGCCGACGGAATTATCTTATCAAATAATACACCGAAAATAATTATGATTAATTATTTTTTTAATTATAAAAATTAGAAAATTAACAGCCACCGTTATTAGTCTAGTGGCACGTTAGACTACAAATTTACTTTATTATTTAGAAGGGAAAAAAAATTATTTCCATGGCCGCCATCCTTTTGAATATATAAAGATATGTTATCCAATTTGCTATATAGTAGAAAGAAAGATCTAACTTGTCTCTAAAGCTAACGCTACGAGGGCTATCTTAATGCAAACAAATAATAAACAACAAAAATATATTCACGACGACCATTCACGTTCAGAAAACACCCTGGATGGGGGAGAAGTCATCACATCAGACAACAATGAAATTAGTAAAAAATATAGTACAACAAGACTAGTGGTATATATTTTAAAGTAAACTTCAACACAGCCCATGTGTTTTGTATAATATTTTTTTAATAAAGCGATAGTATCAGCGAGCTAGGTAATTAATTTTTAGGAGAAATAGAAGTGATGAAGATTGAAACTGCACTATAGTGCATAGATATGTTGTCTATCGCTATTATAATAAAGCGCCATATATATAGTAATGGAACAACGTAATACAAAATCCATTATATCCCAATAAATTTTTGAATAAATGAATTTAAATCATACTCGTCAAACGATTTTTACTGAACAATTTGATCCGTACCAACTGCCTCCAAAAATTATTAGAGACAAATTGGACAGGCTCTTCTGATCCAGAGCAAATAATAGCAAGAAGAATAACAGCCTCAATAATTCTCTCAAAATTTTGCTTCAAATAAATAATTCTCTAAAAATAGTATCATTGAGGCCAATGCTGTTTTGAAAACATAAGAGCAATTAATCTATTAGATATAAGATTGTGATGTTTAGTAATTAAAGAATCACAGGAATAATTAATTGACAAGGACTTCCAACTAGCAAATTAACTAGAAGAAAAATAAAGCAAAATACTCGGCTTCTTAAGCGCAAGCAACAATTCTTTTTAACTCTCAAATTACGTATGTACAAATGAATTATATTTACCATGTATCAAAAATATGATTTGCACGTAAAAAAGAATGACCGAGCGGTGTTCGAAAATGAGGGTAGCTAACAGGTGTAAAGTGCTAGAGTAGAGTGTTGGAGAGTACATACAGCGCCAGGCAAGCGAGGCCAAGGGCCATGGTCGAAGGCAGCACGCGCCGCCTTGACAGCCAAGTCAACATCTTCCTTATCTCCTTCTGCAACTCTGGTTATCACGTCCCCTGTTCTTGGATCTATCGTCTCAAATGTTTTACCTTTCCAAGTTTTATTGGGGTTCACAAAAAAGAAATGCAAATATGTCAGCGAGTCAATTGATATACATATATATATACATATATATATATATATATATATGTTCATATATATGGCATTTACAAGCTTAAAAAAAAAGACAGGTTCTTGAATTTTGAGAGGTTGCAAGTTCGGTTGAGGCAACAACACAAACAGTACGTAGGCATAGTGAAAATGGGCAGTAAACAAACGGTGTTCACCAGCTCGTAGCATCTGAGAAGAAGGGGAAAACGGGGAAAAACCTGAAACGGAATCGAGGAATTCGCCATTGATGAACAGCTGGGTGAACTTTATCGTGGGAGTCTTGACGAAGGAGTCGGAAGCAGAGGTGCCGTTGAAATCACTCCCCATGGCTGCTGTTTCCTTTGGTCCTCTCGCTCTGCGTTTTGCTCTGTTTGTTGTGCGGAAAAAGGAAAGAGAGGCTCTGATGCGTTTGTTCGTGAATGGGAGGGCATATTGTCTGCAGTTAAATAGAAGTGGGAGGGAGGATGAGCCAAATTTCATTTATGGGGTGGGGTCCGCTTTTCGAATTTTCAACTTCCAACACGGAGTAAGTAATCCCCGAGTTGAAGGTCCATGATAAGGCACGTGGGCTTTTCATCACATTACAATTATTACACCGTAAATTTTTAGACACTTTTTTATGCCCTGAAAAATAAACTGTCACTTTGCATTCTGAAATTCGATTTTCTTAATACCTTATCGAGATTTTGTCAATTCTGTAAAAAAGAGACGGAAGGATGATGCAAAGAAATTTCGAAATTAAAAAACTTCATTTTAATTCTTGATAAAGATGGCTTTTAGATTAAAAAACTATGAGAAAGATAAAAATCTAATTTTAGTCTCTTTAAACATTAATAACCTCATTTGTTAATTATATTTTGATTTTTTTAATTATTTCTTTTTTTCTTCCTAAATTTTAATATATTAATTTTATTTCATTATAATTTTCATTTTCATTTCATTTATCGTAATATATTTTGTTGTAAACATTTAGCTAATTTTTGTTATACAATATATTTCGATGTACTTTGTCTTCTTTATTTAGGTACATTAAATTCATTATAATACATCTCGATGCATTCATTTAGGTACACACATTTCGGTACATATATTTTGATACAAACATTTAGCTACATTAATTCAATATAAAACAATTCGGTACTAACATTTCGGTGCATACATTTCGGTACACACATTTAGGTGTATTAATTTAATATAATACATTTCAGTGCATATATTTCGGTACATACATTCTGGTACTAACATTTAAATACATTTGTTCAATATAATACATTTCGGTACACATATTTAGGTACATTAATTAAGTCTTTCAAGTTTGAAGAATGTTAAATAAAAGGGTTTTTTAAATCTAGACCCTTGCAACTCTTATTCCTTAGATAAAAACTCACCTAATTCTAAACATCCAAATAAAACCCAAATTTGAAAAAGATTACAAAGTAAAAAAGTAATTGACCTATTATTACAAAATATTTACAACTTGTGCCACAATATTCAAATCAAATCAATAAATGTCATTACTCACCTTAATTATAATGAACAAATAATTATTGCACATACTATTACCCCTAACATATATATATAGATATATATATATATATACATATATATATATACATACATACATACATATATAGACACACATACGTCAAAAGTATATAGTACTACTATAAGTTCAATATATATATAATTTACCAATACGTACTACTATACGTGTTACCTATATATGTAAATTTATGATTAGCAAATAATATATATTTGTAGGTAAATTAATAATGAATCAAATAACTTTTTTTTTTGTAGGTAACTTATTGTTCATATATTATTACATATATTTGACACATTTTATTATTATAAGATATGTACAAATAATAGGTAAATTAACTTTGAATCAAATAACCTTGCTTTATTTTGTAAGTAAATTAATTTTGAATCAAATAGCATTCTTTTGCTATGTAGGTATTTTATTTTGTATGTATCAATATCATATATATATATATATATATTTGACACATTTTATTATGTAGGTAAATTATTTTGGTTGTATTTTGCATATTTTGGGTTTGTTATTATGTAGGTAAATTATTTTTCATGTATTTGTTCATGTGGAATCTAATCAATGAATTTGTTGTTACATATATCAAACATAATTAATGAATTTGTTGATGTGGAATCTAATCAATGGGTTTTATTCAAGTAAAAAATCTATGTTGGGTTTTATGTAGAGAAAATTAAGTTTTAAGGGCTAAAGTTATATTTTCAGTAAATAAAATTAATAAATTAAAAAACTCTTTTTTGGTCCAAAAATAAATTAAAATTTGTATGTTAATAAATTTAAATATTTAATGGGAGACATAAATAAAATGCACATTAATTATTTTGAATTAAGGACACATCAATGGATTATAATCAATATGTAATCTAACACAAGGTTTATTTTAAATTTCAATCTTCTTAAAGGATTAAAGTTAAAAAATCCTCTTACGAAATTACCCTGCCACGTCAGCACATTCTATCCATTTTTCGGGAAATTGACAAAGTGGAGCCAAAATTGAATTTCAAAGTGCGAAATGACGAATTTTATATTTTAGAGGAGAAAATTAAATTGAGTTTGAGTTCCATAGGCATACAAAAATGCCAAATTTTAATGGGATTGTACTTGGGCGGACCAATTCAATGGCAAAGGTGTCGAAAAAATTCTTTATCAGACTGGATTTTGCTCAGCCAACAATTGGACAAGGCATTTGACAAAAAAAATAAAAAGCAATTGGACAAGGCAGAGTGGCGTGAGGCTGTAACGAGCAGCATCGGCATGCATGTCATTAGTTTTCAAGATTTGGATGGTGAATTGGTGATTATGAATTAATGATTATTTTGAATTGGTAATTTGGAGTTTTGTGAAATATGATTAGTGTTTTTTAATTGTAATTTTGTAATTCAAAGAGTATTTACAATGTTTAAGACGATTAATCTGAATTTGTTAATTAATTGATATGTAAAAGTTTTTAACTAAGAGATCGATGCTCATGAATAGTTCGACTAATCCACTTGCATTGATAAAGAAAAGATAATGCAATATTTTCATGAAATAAAAACTTGTTGAGAACAATTGTAATTTGATATATCGTCTAGTCAAAACATCTTAATTTTGGAGAAGTGAGACTAGACTTAGGATGTACGGTTATAATATTTTAAGGCAACTCAAATATTTTGTAACATGTTGAAGTAAGCTACCTTGACGGGCCGGCATCGGCCAATGAACATGTTATTTTATTTTTTTGGTCAACATCAACATGCTATATGATAACGAATCCCACTTAAACTTTTCTTGTCAAACAAAGAATATGGCTTGTAAAAGGAAATGAATGAACAATACGAATGGAGAAGATGTACAATGTGGAAAATGTCAAATGTTTTGTCTTAACCTTTTTATTGCAAGTGAGTCGACAACAAGATGTAACTTGTGACCAGTAAAAGTTCTTACGGTACAATTTATTTATTCAAGAAAATAAAGAAAGAGAGACGGATGTGAAAGTAGAGATTAATCCATCAAGATCCTCTTCAGATATTTTTTGTGAGGATTTTGGTGATTTGTAAATCGTATTCATTTATCATACATCATATAATCAGTTTTTATTAGGTAATGTTTGTATTTAATTTTAAATAAAAACGTTTAAAATGATTTTTGATCGCACGATGTACGATAAACGAGTATGATTTACGGATCCCTGAAATCTTCATAGAGAGAATCCAACGAGGATCCCAATTCAAGATAGATGCCAATTGACGTATTACATTGCAAATTGAGTGACATGTAATATAGAAAGTTTTTGTCACTCAACCAGTCATGCACCAAAGAAATTTTTCTAAAGTGTTTTCGTACATTGAAAATGAATGGTTAAGACACATCGTCTGGTCAGTTTTTGTCAAAGTATTGTTTGTATTTAATTTTAAATAAATATTTTAAATGAGTTTTGACCACACGATTTATGATGAACTGATATGATTATCGGATCCTCGAAATCTTCACAAAGAGAATCCGGCAAGGATCCCAATTTGAGATTGATGCCAATTGACGTATTACATTGCAAATTGAGTGACATGTAATATAGAACGTACTTTTCACTCAACCTGTCACGCACCAAAGAAATTTTTCTAAAGTGTTTTCGTACGTAAAAAATGAACTGTTAAGACCTAAAGTGTATGAAATGTAAAACCTTTGTGCAAAATTAAATGACTAAAAGGGCAATTTTGGTTTGAAAGGATATTAAAAAAAAGTTCATTGCCACTTAGTATTATATTATAGTGGTATTTCTCTTCACTTGTAAAGGAAAGAACTTAGGTTCGATTCTCGCCAAATGCGGATTCAAACCACATTATTGCTAGCCCATTGCGAGGCTAAGCCAACCATCTCTCTCTAGTGTAGATAAAATTGTTTGTTAAAAAAAATAAAAAGTTCATTGTCTCCCCTGGGGCAGCAATTGTGTATGCTTCCATTAACTATGATATCTGTTATCAGTAGTGAAGCTACGTGAGGGCGAGGAGTGGCAGCTGCCCCTCTCATCGGCGGAAAACACGCATAGGAGCGCTGGTTCAGCCCCTCCGCTCTCGCCGGAAATGAGAATTCTCGCTCTGGTGATTTGGTTTCTGTAGCAAAGCTAATTGTTTTTTTTTTTTTTTTTTAGATTTTGGAGAACGAAATCTGAAAAATAAGGGTAAAGCGGCAGAACTTGCGAAGAGATGGCAGCTTATCAGTTTGATATTCCCTATACCAAACGGCGACAACTGGAGAAAATTAAAGCCAACATAAAACTCGCTGCACCAATTCATCTCCGCCATAAATTTGATGCTCATCATATTTCATATCTTATGCAAACACAGTTTGATTCATGCATGTGCAAAACATGATAGGCAATAACATCAATTGACATAGGATAAGAATGATTAAAACTATAAAATTAAAAAAATCCCAAATTATTGACCATGGACAAGTTGAGCAGCAGAATGAAGAGGTCGTCAATGGTGGCTTGCTTCGACGACAAGAGTTTGATGCCTCTACTTCCAACGACAATGCTCTTGGTCTCCTAATTCTGATTCTTGTGGAGATGGTGGAGGTTATTGGCGTTGGGGTCGCCGGAGAAGGAAGGAATTAGGCGGGGTGTAGTCGGGGGCGACGAAGAAGAGGTATTGAGGGTGATATCTAAAGTGTTTGGTTGCTAGAATAGTAGATCTATTGTTGTTTGGTTAGAGGGTTAAGAATGACAATTGTCGTAATTTTATTAGGCCACAAAGTCTAGGGAGTAAAATTGGTACTGAAGTATTGTCTTCCCCCCATCTTTTAAGACCTCACCATATTTATCTTAACCTCTCACTTTATCTATAAATATTATATTACTTTTTAAAAAATAATGGAAATATTGTTTAATGCTTATTTTACGATAAAAGAAATTCATTCAAATCCATTTAGGCTCCTGCCTAGATCTCACCTAGGCGCCTAGCTATTAGACCCTATTTCGTTGCCTGACTAGCGCCTAACGTTTGTAAGCGGTAATATAAAAAACAATGTAAGAAGTTTAAATTCTGGCTTTACCACTGTTTGCCATCATGTTATTTTCTTAGTAGGCATGCACTAACTCGTACTCGAGTATGTCTTTGCCTTGTGGAGTATAATACAACTAGTATTCCCGTCCGCCGTTGTTTAGTCATTGCACACGTCAATGTTCAACTTTAATGCCTGGACGTTTTGTCAATGTTGAACTTTAATGCCAACAAAATCATACAATCCAGTTTCCATAACAAACCCAAAACCAATGAAAACTTCAACTGCATCGTTTGATTTTTTAGCAGATAAAAAGTGGCTAGTAGTACCTGGTGGTTGAATTAATGCCGCTAAAATAGGCGCATATTAGAGGGAAATGGAATGTCTGCATTTGCAATTTCTAAATTAAGACAACGGACAAAGAGGGGAACACAAAGCTTTCCATTTTCTGCCTAACTTATGAGTTTGACAACATGTGGCACCGCACAATGCAACGATCCAAACGTGACATAAATACGGGATATAAAGCGTACACGATTGAAATACAATTGACATTTTTGTATGAATAGAATGTGTTGTTGTATTGATCTAATATTGACAACTTCTCGACTTTTTAGTGTAATTTTAAATTGATTCTAATCTTCTAAACATTCTAAATAAGTACCCAACTTATTAAAATATCATATCTTTTAATAATAGTTGCCTCAAAATTTAAATTTCAAACATAGATTATATAATTTGGAATATAGTTATCAAACCGGTATTGAATTGAAAATTTACATTAGGAGTGCAATCTCCTAACAAAGAAAAGGGTTAAGAATCCAGATAAGATTTCAAGGAGCTTGAATCTGCTCATGTGATTTCTTCATTCGCCAATTCTCGACTCGTATAGCTTCTAGTTCTCCTTTGTAGACGATGAAGAGGGTGGTGGCCGTATCCTGGTAGTTCATACCATTTGAGCAACCTCCATGACCTTTTTCTTGAAGTTGACGGCTTGAGTTGTAAGATAACGTTGGTGGTTTTGCGTGTGGTTGGAGGTGATGGCCTGATGGGGGTAGTGGTGACCGTTGGTGGAGCCTATGCTTCCATGACCTTATATTGATTTTGAGAAAGGTAAGCCCTAGTTAGTTTAACAGATTATTCATTGTTGACTGAATTCATCTTACAGGACTTGAATCACAAAACAACAAGCCACCATGAAAAGAAGTTGTAGTAACATGAAAGATCAAACAAAGAAAACATAGTAGTTTATTTTAATTTAATTTGACAACCACCTCTACTCGACTACTAGTCTAAAGGGAAGAGACAAAACTGAGTAGATGCCAAGAAAGGGAATAGACAAAGCATCAATGGCAAATTGCCATGGAGGGATTCATGGAGCATATCCTTCCGTACTAACTACAAGGATGATGTTATTTTATTTCTTTTTGTCCAAGATGGGAATTCATCAAATATTGTGGTACATAAATCATTAATTTGGAAAGGACATTGAAAATTATGGCACATAAATGATAGCATTGTAGCACATTGTATTGGAGTAACAGTGACTGATGAGAAACGGTCGGTTATGTATGGTTCATTGTATTTTGTTTAACCTTTGATTGGAATAGTTGAGAGAGGCAAAGTACACAAAACAATACAACTCTCTAAAGTCTAGACTAACAGATGTAATAGGAGCATTGTACGGTTAGGAGGGATTTGTCTCAAGATTACACACAACTATCATCTGACCTATGTTTTGCTTCTTGCTATTGCGGATACGAGGGAGGCTGGTATGCCGGTGGAGCAACATTCGAGTAATTATATGGGACGTAGTTGGTCTGGCCGCCACCATAAGCCCCACTGCTTCCAAACCTGGCAGCGCCCATGCTGTCCCCAGGGAGGGAGTAGTGTTGAGGAAGAGCAGCGGGGCTTTGAGCAGGGGGTGCTCCATATGTGGATCCATACGATGGTGCTGTCGGACCGTCGAACACACTTTGGCTCGGGTAACTGTAAGGACCAGAATATCTTGTTGGGGGGCTATGTTGTGGAAGAGGATTTGGGTTCCTCCTGGTAAAGGAGGGGTAGGAATTGGAAAACTTGGCTGCTTTGGCAGGGCGGAATGACGACTGTCCTACCCCTTGGCCGCCACCCCCACCCCCACCGTAGGCTCGCTTATTATTATGGGGCTTGCTGGAAGATGCTGAGCTCTTCTTCCTTTCTGTCTTTGCTTTCTCCAAATGAGTCGCCCGCTTTCTTAAGCTCTCAAGAGAAAACTCTGATTCAAGCTTGTGGTCTTCTACACATTTGATGATTGCTTTGATGGAATTCAACTCCAAAGTGCTCGACTCCTCCTGTAAGATGGACTTTGATTAATAAATCTCCCTAAAGTGTGCAGATTACAGAGTGAAAAACAAAACTACATTGGGAAACTAAAGACAAAAGGAAAGTTACACATACAGTTGCAGCCACACTATTATTTCCGTTCTTCAATATGATTGTAGCACTCCTTCTGGAGTTCCTGAGATACGATTTGAGCAGAGAAACAGGAGGAAAACTCTCAGTTAAACCAGACTCAGAAGCAAAATATACGGCCTCTATCTCCTTGCCATTCTTCACTAACTCATCAATGACATCTGTAAATGATCAGAATTTTTTTCATCAAATATACACAAGAAGGAAATACTGCCAAGATAGAATCTACGAAATCAAACATTGATGCTGCACTGAAGAGAGAAACGACGACAAAAGAAAGATCCTCTTAAAATACACAAATGAGTGTAGCAAACACTTAATCAAGCCACAATCACATTCGTTTCAGAAAATGGGCAACTGACAGATGTACATTGGAATCACATTCTTAATCAGTATCACCTAATACACATCAAATACCCTGATATTAAAATACTTCAAAAAAGTTAAGAACCTAAATACCATTGATAACAAATACACAAAACATTAGCCAAAGAAGTGCTGATTTTCTAAATTACAATTCAAATTCAGATTTCAATTGGGAACAAAGCAACAGTGAAACTGAAATCAGTCCTACTGGCTTAGTAAGTGTCTACATTAACTTGACTTTGGCTTTGCTAGGCTCAGAAAAATTTTAAAACCCGAAGCACATGCCCACTAAATCACTTATGGGATCTGGTTCGATCGGTTATGCCTCATTATGCAAGCAGAAAGACCATTCGAAATACAAGTTTCTCAACAAGTGGTAGCATAAGTTTCTTTGGAACTGTAACAATGTATGTACCAGGGTTCTATCCCTATTATATACGTATATATTCGTGAGCAATTGGAAGTTCTATAACAACAAATTACCATAAAGAACATGGTTTTACAAACCATTTGAGTTTTGATTAAACAAAACCGTACCTCCCATTTTTTCTCCGAGTTCTAAAGCCCCTGCGAGCTTTGCCATATCCCTCCTCGCTGCGTGCTCCATTACCAACTTCCGAAAGAACTCCTCACCGAACTTCTCCTTCAATCGAAACCCAACAAGCATTTGCACAAACATCACCGCCTCCGCAGCCCCCAACGTCCAGCCACCACCGTTTGAATCTCCATCCATACGCGCCTTCCACGTATCTACAATCCCGGCCGCTCTCTCCACCATGCTCCTGGAAAACTCCGGCCCTTTTGGGCCGGCCTTACCCTCCGGAAACAGAGCTTGAACTAACAGCCCGCACGCCCACCGCTTATCGGTAACCCCCAATTTCTTGGCTTTAGAATCCAAAAACTCTTCCAATGCATCAAGCACCAATCTTGATGGGTCCACGGCCTCCGCAATTGCCTGCACAATCTCCGCCCTGAGCGATATAGACTCCTTCCGCTTCGAAACGATGAACTTCACCAACCCCTGCGAGTCCATTTTCCTGCAAAACGATTTCAGGGTCTCCGGCAAATCCAAATCGCCGGATGCTTTCTTCTCCACCTCTGCCAAGGCCGCGGCTTTCTGCTCCTCGATTCTGGCGGCGGCGGAGGACCCGCGCTCCGGGATGGAAGCCTCCCGGTGGTCGAGAGAGTGTGAGTTTTCGCGGGTACGGGATTCGAGGGATTGGGTTTTGGATTCGAGGGAATAGGATTTCTCGGAGATAGATTTCTGGAGGGAATCAAAGTGGTCGGAGAGGGTTATGAAAAGCTTGGTGGAGGTGGAGAGTATCGCCCTCTGCTCGTCCAGGTCGCCAAAGAACTTCTGGACTCTGTCCGTTGTGACCACCAGTTCGGTCCCCATTGGCGTGAATGTGGTGATGAAACGACGCTGTTTTGAAGTCACTGAATTGGGGATTTTCCGTAAACGAAAACCCTAAACCTATTTTCGGAAGACGAAGAAGAAGAAAGATCAGTCTCTCTGTAATATTTTCCAGTTCTGCACCTTCTGCTGGTGAAAGCGGATTTTCTTCGATTCCTTTGTTTATGGGTAAAACGGTGCCGTTTACGTGCGGAACCCATACTGAATGCGCAACTCTCTATCAGCGGAACCCCTATGCCCCTTTTTTTGTCTTTTGGTCCAATACCAATATTTAGTTGGACAAGTGATTAATATAAATTATCAAATTTAATTTGTATACACTTAACCATAACATTAATAGTTTATCACATCTTATACATGTAACACAAGTTACGTGGTGCGCTATTTCACGTATTATAATTTGAGTAAAATAATAACGTTATGTGACTGTGTTCTGGATACATCGAAAAACCGCTCACTTGCTGCGTGTAAACTTATGATGTAAGCGTAGACAATAAGGCTTTTCACGTACAAAACTTTAGCAAGTCACCCTTCATACTTTGCGATGGGAAAATGATTGTTGCAACTAAGAATCGATTGAAACATAAAAAGCGAATAGTTAAGGGTTTTATTTTTTTGTTCTTCAATTGAGCTCTTGTAGTGTTTTATCATTTTATAAATCTTATAATTGTTAGGGTGTTTTTTTCTCTAATTTACCATAGACGACACCAAAATAATGTAGGAATTTGGAGAAATCTTTTGCTAAGATACATCCAGACCTCATGAACTGATGAACATTACTGCATATGCATACATGGCAACAAAGAACTACACAAACAAGTTCATTTCTACTCTTAAATCATCGATTCGTTCTTTGAAAAGATCTTCGAAGGATCTGCGAAACGCATGGAGAAGGAGCGAGATACGTCACCGGGTTCATCCCATTCTGCACATCCTCCGTGATCAAAATTCTGAGAGTACGTGTAAGGATCATATGACACTTGCACAGGTGATGGAGAGTAAAAAATCTTCCTCTTTTCTTTCTTCAAATTCACCCACAAAACTTTCCACCTCAACTTATTGCCGTTTGATCTGCTTGCGGGGTGATCATCGTCTTGTAATCTCGTGTGATCGATCTCGTCGTAGTACATCCGCCCGCCCAATCGGATGGTTCTGCTGCCTGAGCTGCACCAGTATTTTCTCACATCCATTGCAGCAACCTGCAATACAAGGTACTGTGTTTTGAAAGGTGACCTAATTGATGAGAGTGCATATATATATATATATATATATATATATATATTGAAAGCAGTAGTTGGCTGGCTATTTGCGACTCAAATAGTCCAACCTGGATGGCTAATGGAAAAGCTCATTGCTCAGTCAGTTTAGAAGTACAGGACTAAAAGCTTCACCTAGAAGAATAAACTAATTAACATGTGTTTATTAAATTGTAATCCGGATTAGGTGGATCCTAAACATCCTATTGTGTCACGTGATGCATGTGACTAGCTTGAAGGGTGCATGCAAGTCAATTATACTTAAAACTAGATCATACTAGTATAGATAAAGGGTGTTTTTGGGTTACATAGAAGAATTCGAAATCCTGGACCTAACATACTCTTACCAGCCCGCATTTCTACCACCCTCACTATTAGAAAAGGGGGTTCAGAGTTGCCTCGGCCTTCATCACAATATAAACTTATCTAAAGTGGCATACCACTGCAATGGTCAATTTGGATTATGCAGATCCTAATTATAAATTAAAATTTAGACATGATAGTTCGTGATTAGCTTAAAAGTCACCGATGACATCCTCATTGCACGAAGGCCCTTTCTCATATCAGTGTCTTTGTACAAAAAGGAGAAATCCTTTCATCGCAACATCATCAACGCAAAGAAGATAACGTGGACTAATCTACACCCTACAGAAACGTATGAGAAGGAAGCTCACACGTTCAGTAAAGGAATCAATGAAACATGCAGCCACATGAGGAATCCCACTGGAAATTGGAAAAACAAAATCTCAGGCAATGGATCAGTAAATTTTTTATTATTTTTGTTCTATAATAAATATTACAATTAACAATAGTGGTACAATTCCTTTACACACGATTACCATTGGGGGGCAACTTTTTCTTAAACTTGGAACTCTCCCCCAAGGGCTTATGTTTTTTTCCTTCAAATTGGAGCATTGCATCCCTGCTACAGCCAAAATACAACATACCAAGAGTACAAACTTCTCCGTGTTCGAACTACCTCCGATAAGCACGAATGCCAGTACATTTTAGTGCCCTCTACTGATACGTTGTCAATGAAAGCACTTCTCCCTTCTCTACATAGTACAGAACTTTCTGTATCATCGAGCAGGCTAGACAAAAGGTGCAGTCAGCCGTCCGCCAAGAAGTACATAATGCCGCCTTAGTGTCACTGTAAAATCCCATTTTAAAAAAATGTTAAGAGCTTAAAGTTTAGGTATATTGTTTATTTAAATAATGCTTAAAACTGGACGGAGGAGGCTTAAGTCCGAGGTTCAAGCCCACTGCTTAGAAGTTTAACGAATCAAAGTCAAACTCTTAAAAATCCATATTATACCTGCATTTAACATCACGCTGCAGCTTTTTTACCGAACCTGATCCTCAAGACACTGTTCTTCCATAGCTGATGGATGCAATATAGAGATTCTTCAACCATTTTTCCTGCCATGGGCAAAATAAAACAGTATAACTTACTGAATAATCAAGAAATCCACCAAACGTTGAATTTATCAAGCTAGTACTGGTGCATCTAAATTTTAATTCTATTGGTCTCCCCGTTTAATTTTATCTCAGCAATCAAAATGTACCTTCACTTGGTATGTTGGAAAAATTGATGTCCGTAGAGTTTCTTGAGCAATATCTGGTGATTTCTTTTTGGGTACACTAAGTATGAATGCAGCTTGATCCTCTGTAGCAGCAGTTGAGGTAATCCGATATCCATCCTCCCATCTCCTATGGATGCCTTCACTGGGATATAGGAAATCAAGTTCAACAACCTAGAAAGACAACACATATTACACGATCAATTTTCTGCAGTGTTCCATCTGAAACAGAACAGTACAACGGGGTTCTAGACTGGTGTACCTGACTAGAATAACCTGCATTACGGGACATAACAATACCCCATCTGCTACCCGCAGTAGTCATGGAGGTAACAGAGAAACCTTCTTTCCACTTCTTATGAATCCATTTGAAAGGGAACACATCACTGACTTTGTAGGATTGTTGAGTATAAGGTACACCTTCAATGACGAGAGCGGAAAAATTAGCTACTAGAAAAGAGTAGCTCAACCAAGTCAGAATGATACTTTGATGAGATATATCCTGCTGATTAAAGCTGGAGGTTGAGGAAAAAGAAAACTGACACCAGTGCAGAAACCAAGTCCCAAGTTGTCCTTATCTAATACTTATTAACTGTGACATTCATTACCATCAGGGACCAGACCCCTATGGCTACACCACCACGGACAACAGGAAGCTGTAGCCAGACAACAGGAAGCTCTTTAAGGATCACTTACCTTGGGACATTACCACCAGGGCACTGCCGTTGAATGCACCAGCAAGTGAAGTGATGTAGTAGTTCTTGTCCCACTGTTCCATTATCCATTCCTGGCAAATAATCAGAAATAATTAGCTTTCAGGCAGAAGATAATTAATTGCAAAAGTGAAACTTGATGGGAAGTAGTTTCAAGAATGGCTACCTTGTGCAAGAAAATAGATGACCGTTCATAAACCTGGGATGTAAAGCCAGTCCCTGCATCCATGACGATAGCCCACATATTCGCAGACGAAGCAACGCAACTAATATACAAACCATCTTCCTTTCCTTTATCAATGTGCTGGTCCAGTCTTTGATCCAAAACATTGTAGTGATACCTGCAGAGAAGGTAAAGCCAAGAATAGAGTAAAAACAAAACGGAATTTAGATTAAAGGTAAACCAGGAAAGGGTGATTTAGGATGGGTGATTGGTGAGACATTGTCAAGGCTTTTCTACCTTGCAGGTGTTAAATAAAGTAAGATAACCTGAAAGGGATTTTATGAACCCTTTAACAGAAACTACCTTTGCTTCATTGATGATCTGGTATTATAGACCGAGATCCACTGAGTAGCTGGACTACCTTGGCGAACTTTTTTCTTAGGTTGCTCATCATCTACCGAGTCAACAGGCAATCTTCCCCTTTTTTGACCCGCCTATATTGCATAAAAACCAATAAATAATTGAACTAACCAGAAACTTAAAATTTTTCAACAAATCAAAACACGAGCAACCACCTTTGCAGCTCCATCAGTTCTAATAGGTCGCAGAGAGGCAATTGCACCAATGCTATTATCAAATAGGGAAATAAGCTTTAAGTAATTTGGTTCTTCATCGAATTTCATATTGGTCACTATCTCAAGAAACTGTTGAAATGGGGGAGGGCATAAGCTGCATAGTGTCTCAGCAGAAGTTGCCATCTTCTTCTTACAAACAAGAAATCCTTTGTTCTCTCCCTGCTGTCCAAAATTCCAGCTTAGCATTTATAAACAGAAATAGGCCATCCAGGGTGGAATGGTAGTGCACGGTGAAATACCAAATGAACTTACATTGTAGCCTTGCCAGGGAAGTTTTCCTCTAAGGAGAAATATTAGGGTATAAGCTAACGATTCAAGGTCATCCCTTCGGCTCCCTGTCCTGCCTAAATGAGCATGTACACTTGCATAACGTACAGTTCCCCTTTTAAACATACCAGATATATTAGGCCACTTCAGATCATGAGTAAATTTCATATAATGAAAATTATTCTAATGGACTTGTAATTTAATGATCAGATTGAACTTATGCTTGTTGCTACAATTAAGTGACACATGAAATCGGTCAACTGAACTATTTTCTGAAATGCTATTAAAGCAGTTGTTTTTCCCATGATACTTAAAAGATAACAAATTTTTTTCTCCCCTCAATCCCTCGTAACCATCTTGTAACCTGACCATCGAACCTACACGCCATAGCCAAGGTTGTAGTTACCTGAAAACATCAGGTTTTTGGTCATAAACAACATGACGTCCAGAAGACCCATCTCTCCATCTGGAAGCTGAGGAAGAAAAGAAAGGTCACAAGTTGTTTCAAAATTTCGATGACATGAAAACACAGAATCACATTCAGCTGTGGTTTAAGAGTTTTTCCTTTCCGAATACTTGTATAATAAAGAACACATACCCA